GTAAATCTATTAAACAGGGTCACATTTTTCTGTTTGTCATATCTGATCGCTTCAGAATGACAGAATTAGGTAGTCATCTTGCTTAGGATATTTCGAATATTCTCGTAACCCTCATATTCGTCTTCTGTTTGAAGTAAGTTTATCACAAACATCTTTGCATCTACAGACGTTACAGCTTTATTCATTCAGCGTAACTTCCTTTTGAGATTGCTGCCTGAAGTATCCAACCAATTGCTCTAAATGAATACAAGATGCGATGAATCATTGGGTTAATTGTCAACGTTCATAATTATTGTCATTATTGTGTGGTTAATTTACCGTTGCTTTACGAAAGCGAAATTTCAGGTGAAGCAATTACGTCTCGAGAAGTTGCTTCCTACATCTGGTGATGCTTAAACTAAACTTGAAATTTTTCCCTCCAGTCTGCCAGTTTTCAGTGTGGCAGGGAAACCGTATGAGGATTTGCAACAGAGTTAACAATCACCATAACAACACTATTGGTACCAGTCTTTCAAAATGAATAGAAATAACTTATATAGGAAATGGGTATTTCAGAATATCGTCACTAACACAGTAATCTATGAACTTACTATCTCAAATGACAACGTAGTTCATTTAATCTTATTTTGAATTCTTCGTTAACGAATGGATCTAGTGACCAAAGGCGTTCGGCTACTGCAGCACCATCAGGCCTTTTAAAATAGATAAATGAAGTGAGAAGAATGTATATTTAAAACAAACAACAATATGAAACTTCTGACCATCTTCCTTGAGGTGATTGAATTCCTTGTAATTATATGACTAGTTTGGATGAAAAATGTGTGGGTCAAATTCTGTCACTGCTTGGCAATGATGTTTTAGGATTAATGAAGCAGTGAGGATGAAAGATTCATATTGGCTGACAGCGTATTATTACTTTTCTCGTGACCACACTCCTGCATTTAATAAACGGGTGCCACAAAAGTTAACGATAGTGTGGTTGTCAGCAGGGACTTTTTCGCTGACTGAGTGGACGGAAAGATTCGCGGTGCCGGTTAGAATCGTTATGCGGATACGACTCTTCCGCATAACTGACTCACTTATGACTGTTTTCTTCACTATGATCTCAAGTGTGACAAGTAAATAGGATCTAACTAAATTCCAAAATATTTCAGGCAATCAAATGAACCTATGCATGGATATGTGCACTTCGTCTGTACACCACTCCTCATAATGTTTATATTCACATTCCATGAAATCATTCCCACTCTATTCCAAGATAATTTCAGCTTCATTTATGCACGAGCACGTCTTCTCACTAATGAGAGTACATCTTCATTCATCATGAAAGTTATCTGTGAATGACTCATTTTCAACGTTTCTAATAAAGTAGACATTACAACTTACCATGAATGCATAATGAGATTTGACTTATCCAGATGCTGTGTATATACAATGGCTTCTCCACCAATAATCAGATTTTGTTCTTCCTCAGTGGCTTTAATAGTTTTAAAATACGGGAAGAATGACTTAATAAGAATAATAATAAATATGGCACAACTTAATGGTACATTATCAGTGATGAGTAATCGCAACACTGCTAGTAGATAATGCAAATGTACTTGTTATAATTGGAGTAGGCAGAGGAAAGTGACAATTGTCCACACGTTGGCAGCTATTGGTGTATTGATGGAGAATCTTAACAAGTTAATAATAATGATGCATATCATATGAAGATGGAAGCACCCACATAATTGAAGTAGCGGTTTTACAAGCGCGGTCTTATCTAGTATAATTGCAAAATATATTTACTTTAAAGGTGTTGACTTGTTTTCACTATTAAAATGCATTATCAGTTGCGAAATGGGCCACGAAGAGGGACGATGCTTACTCACTCAAGATTTCAATCTTTGTATCTCCAGACGAGGACTAAGCGAAGTTATTTCAGAAGCTAGGGTGGAACCAATTCAGAAGCTCTGAAAAACGACCGAGTGCCCTCAGAGGAGAAGCTCACCCCACCATATCAGCAAGTTAAGAAGGGAGTCCAGGTGCAAATAATCAGCCACAATCCTAACGCCTAGAAAATACGTAGAATGGAATCTACATTGATCGAACATGCACTAATAAGACGTTTAAGTAGCATCACTCCTCAGAAATGAGTTGAGTTTCCTTGAGTAACATGGAGAACATCATATTGATAGTAAATAGAAATTTTTAGGCAGTGGAAAAGGCGTCAAAAGTGGTTACAGGAAGTTTAGTGCAGTGGAGGTGTGCCTCTGATGCTTTTTATTAAACTGAAAATCAGGGAGTGGTTACAAGTAGCAATGAAAAGTTTCGCTTTCGTTATGGATAGAAATTTGAGTAAACATCAAACTGAGCAAAGTTAGATGCTGTCCGCTCTCATAGGGGATTATGACGGTGTTAAGCAGTCAGATGTGTGTATTTTCGTTTATTTTTTTTATTCCTTTGCATTCACAGTAGAACATAGGGCTTCATGCTGGATCCCGGAAGTAACAATAGCAATGGTGTTTATCCTCTCAAGGGATTGGTTTGCTACTCTAATGCCCAGCCATCCCACTCGACTGAACTTGCTACGGGTTAAGTGAGGTAAAGGAGTGAGTCAGCCAAGAACTGAACGCCGAAACGCGCGTATGGCTGGCGAAGCAATACTTAAATGAAGTGTGAAGCTACAGCAAACACTCAAAATGAGAACGTGTTTCAACTCTCTGAGTTGTAATAATTAACATTTATCTCTTGTACATACCGCCAAACGATTTTCCATCACATTCATAGTAATCAATCCAGTTTGCAGGAGTGCTTCTGCCAGTAAATAACCAACATGACGAAATTATAACTCGATAACCATCTGATGTTATATTTTTGACAATCTCTGTCCAAGCTCCTCCGTTCCACACTTGAATCACAGCGGTTTCAGTGGGCTAAATCACAAAATTGAGTACAGTGATTAGTTGGCGCATAAATTGTGACGTGAATATTTGATAAAAGGCATTAAACTGGCCTGAACAACGGATTTCAGTGTTCCGTTCCAAATTTATACAAAACAGAGAAGAGGTAAAAACCCCTTCCCTGCTAAAGAACTGATGCGATAGCACTATTATTTAGTTGGGAAACTCAGCGTTACAGACCCAAGACAAGCTTAGTGACACTTCGTTGATCTTTGTATGGGGGTCTATTTGTCTTCGCTTTTTCCCCACTTATGAATCTCATTTTGTCTGATATTGATATAACGATGGTTTGTAAGACTCTACTATTTCCATCCCGGTCATTTGAGAGTTGATTTATCACTGTGACATGAGAAAGTTGAAATGAAATGTCCGAAATCGGAAGAAATCCTCCTCTTGCAACTTATTAATGAAGGTAATCAAATAGGCATTCAACCTGGGGCCTGCTTATAACTTGAGCTACCGAAAACTTCCATCCACTGCATACATTTACTGTCGTTCGGTTTGTTTTAATCGGTGAAGTTATGACCTCTATCGATATTACCTTCTCTGGCGTGTATTTAAAATGTTTACAAGCTTCTGATTTATAAGTTCCTTCCAAACATGAGGAATGAACTGATTGTTGGTGGCAGTGTGTGCGTCAGTTACATAGAGGTTAGGACGCTCGCCAACCAATCACTTGGTTGGAGGTTGGATCCCCGGCCGACGCACACCTAATATCAATGGTCGGCCTGATAAATTTGTGCCACCGATATCACATGCTGAAAATTCAATACTTTTAGCAAAACAGTGTGTGGAATCAAGCTATAATTAAAAGTTCAAAATTAAAATTGTATGAGATAACTATTCTTAAATTAAGTCCTTGATTTTCAAAATGTACTTCTGAACATCCTACAATTAGCTTACAGCCAGATATCGTGGATTTTTGAAGGAGACAAGGCAGCTTTATCAAAATGTTATGGTTTGTGCTTCAGCTGAGGGACCATTATGTCACAGGATACACCATCAGAAACATTTTACTTCAAGATACTGTGGGAAGGGAAAATTTTATGAAATAAGCCCCTCTGAAAAGTCTGTATATTTTATAAGTACCGTCCAGAATAGAGACGCTATTATTATTATAATTAAACAAATAAAGAGCATCATTTCTATTCGAAATGGCTCTCTCACTTGAATATTTTTTTCTGAATATACTTAAGATTACTCTTCACCTACACTGAAGTCTCACAAGCATGAAATGTAATGGAGCTTAAATGGACGATTACTACCTAAGAATTCGAAGATCGGTGAACCTGTGCTACTCCGCTGAACAAATGTTTGATAATGATCATTGGGAATCAAGAGACCAGTGATGGTTGATCGTCAGTTGTGTCAGCATTTACCTTATAAATAGGAGACTCATTGTGACACAAATGATCAGATACTACGTAGAGATGAGTGACATAAACACACCAACATGAAGCAGTCAGCTGAAATTTATGAAACACTACACAACTGAAGGTATTCGCATGATAAGGTACTCAAACCATATGGAGAACATTATGTAAGGACTAGTTACTTACGAGGGGTGTTAAACTGTACGTGAAAAAACATGTGGAGATATTATTGGAAAGGAGAAAGGATTCACTTACACGATACCCATCTATGTACACTCCATCCCAGAAAATTGGTGTAATAGAATGCCCCTCTGGTTGAACTGATTGAATGACCTCGGTGAGTCGATCAAAGTAATATGATCCAAGTCTTCCAAAATCACTGCCGAAATTGTTTTCCTCCATAAACTTCAAAATATCAGGATTCGAGTTCCTATTTTGTGGAAAAACAGTTTCAAAGATTTTATCGAGTGTGAAAATATTTCGTTCTAGATTGCTTATACGGCGTTATTGTTGCATATTGTTGCTTTTGTCATATAATAACACCGGAGATTTCAGTTGCAAATTATAACGGTGATCCCTTCGCTGATATTTCCGGCGTGATTTTCCTCTCCAGTCAACTTTCAGACGTATTACAATATGATCAATAGCAGTCAATTCGAAGGATATCAGAATGGATTTCAGTTGGTAAATAACTTAATGCCATTTGGCTGTCTGATGGAAAGTGTATTAATCGAAATACTGGAACAAGACATATAAGCGAACAATATTTTTTCAATTAGATCCTCTTCAGCCTTTACTCTAATTCACATTAATTTATATATAAAAAAATTTTAGCCAATGCTGGTGATTTTGTGGATCAAACAATAATTATGTGGTAAATGTTTTGTATGTAGTTAATTACGATGATCGCAATGATAATAAAATATTGACAATAAGGTATATGCAGGTGGCGATAAGAATATAAGGGTAGTAATATGTGTATATGTAGACAATTCAATAAATAAATTAGGTCAAATCTTAAAAGTTACGTAATACTAAAGGTGAAGTAGACAAATAATCAGAGTTTAAGTTAAATATCATAGAAGCACGAAGGGAATGGAGAATAAGAAAGGGTTGGAGGATTTTGAATAGAATTCACCTAGGCAAGCAGGGGAGAGACACAAAGGTAGAACAAACTTCTTTTACTGTGTGCAAAGACACTAGGGTTGTTCTATCGAATTTCTCTGACTTCAGGTATGTGTTGAACAGGCGGGTTCGAATTCGGCTGGAAAGTTTCTTTGATGGAATGCGATAGACAACTTTGAAGGCACTATTTTAGTCCACTCGGTGACCGCTATCAATCAAATGAGCCAAAATAGAACTTCTTATGGATTTTATTTGACCTTTTCCGGACCATGAAGGAACATGCTCATTAACGCGTTTGTTAAGCTGTCTAGTTGTTCGCCCTATATAGCTCTCTCCACAGGAGCAACGAAATTTGTAGATACACATAGAGGTGGCATAAGTGCGTAGCTTGTTTTTCACTTGAGCAATCATAACTGGTCGGCTGGAAAATGACAAACAAAGGGTAGTGGCAGTGTAAGTCCGTTTTATCATTATCGATAATCTCAGATGTAAGACTTCGCTAGCCACGTCCCCATTAAATTGCAATTTCATGAACAGTTGTTTCTTTTCAATTGTTGTGAGTTTCTCTTTATTGTACCTGGTGTTCACGTGTCTCCTTACAAATCTACTGGGATAACCCGCTTAGACCAGCGTATTTCGGATGTATCCTAACTCATTTTCTAGGCAGTCATCCGTATTCGTGAGGCATCCTGTTATAATATTAAAAATGGGAATATTTAAAGATAATCGAAACACATCGATTAGTTGTTGTCAGCGGAAGAACGCAGAACTACTACCAAACTATAATTTGATGGATTCTATAGACGTGCTGCACAAGATCCTCGGTGGAATAATTAGAAAACAGTTTTCACTAACGTTTGAGAAAAAGAAGACCAACAGAGCATTCTGGAAGTGGTTGTTGTTGTTGACAGAATTCAGCATAAATGAACAATGGAAAATAAATATATCGAAAACACTCAGCTTGGACGGGAGCAATAATAACTGGTCACTTGCGAGTAATGACACCACCAGGCGTATGCAAAATATGAGTCAGCCACGGTTTCACGGCACTTCAACCAGTAGGCCTTCGTCGAATTGTAGATATACAAAGCAATGCCCTCATTAAACTAGAATTGCATGTTCCTTATTTTTGCTTCAGAGATTTTTTACGAATTATTTAGAAGAGTTGTTTTCCATGAAAACCATTGAAAAATGTGTTCCACACATCATTTATAACATTTGGACCGCTGATACTACTAATCACATTTTCGTCTCTAGGATTCGATTTTCTAAGAAGCATTGAACTGTCAATGTTTCTCCAAACAACAGTGTTTGTAATGTGACAGAGTGTGCTCGAACATTACAGTCCATTTTAATACAATCAACGTGTAAGAATTTGTAGTGATTTGGCCGGAGAAACATAAAATTTCAATCAATATCTGACACCTCATACACAGTGGACCAAATAAGAGACTTAGATGTGTTTTAAATACACAATGAGCAGCAGTAATAGTTTTCAGTCATAATCCAGCTCCAAGGAGTGATATAAGGAATTTTCCATTTCACTCATTTATTATATATGGATAAACCATTTAAATTTCAAGATATGGCTGCTGCTTATGCAGATTCTCAGAGTATCGACTCAGTCGACCGATGAACAACAAACACACAGGAAAGTCATGAATGTATTAAAGATTTCTTCGAAGCTTATCGATGAACTCATGTTACTATTAACATTCATTCAAGAACAGATAAGCATAAATCTTACCAGCAAGAAGGAAATACGTCGTTCCCACCTAAATGGATAAACGTTTCCGGAAATACTGACGTGACTTCCTTGAAAAAAGCTTCGAGGAATTCAAATGTGGTTTCATTTGCAGGATTAAATGGACCCGTTTGACCAGTCGGCCCACCGTCATTATAACACTCTGTTCGTATTCCTGGATAACCTTTTTCCCATGACTTTGTGTGAGCTGAAATCAGTAACATAAAGATAGAATCGATTTTACTTCACAAGTGAACTTTTGGTTCAAACGAAATTATGATTTACGGAGGCCTGAAGATCAGTCAGACAGTAATACTAAACTGTTATGATCGAAAATTGAATATGCTGAAAATCATATGGAGACGAAATTCACACAGTAAACACTGAACCTACTTGTTTAAATTAATGAAGTATTTAGCAATTCAAAATGAGTCACTGAAAGACCAAGAGACCACGGAACACGTAACGGGAGGGTAACATTTGACCATAAGACGCACCCACTAAAAATGTATCACTGTTTTTGTAGCAAAATAAAAGGACTTCAGAGCAGTACACAAGGTCCGTCCAGAGTCCTACAACGGAGCGAGTTAAAGACATCCGGGCATAGTCGACACTATGTATTCAAAATTAATATGTCCAACCCTTGTATCTGTATCATCATAGATATTCAGTTCTCTCAGTAATGGTTATCCTAACTTCCTGTTAATCTCTGTCATTTTTACCCTTTTTTACACCTAGTTGCTCTACTATGTATTTTATTCAATCTTCCTGTTTATTTTGCTATTATTATGTTTTAATCTCCGTTTCAAATCTTACTAATTTGAACCTTGACCGGAAATAGTGCTGGAGCTTGCTCATCGAATTACTATAAATGCACGTATGTACAACCTGTTTGATGAGTTCATCAAAAAGAAAATTTTCTTTGCTGCAACCGTCTTTACAAAGGCGTCCTATGATCTGATGTGTATATTCAGTGAACTGGATTTTTCCAATATGAAACATGCATAGTGTTAATTCACCAACAAATACAACGCAGAATGTGAAGCTCCTCAATCACTTACCAGGAGTATCGAATTCCACGATCACACGTATCCCACGCTGACGTGCAAACTGCAACAACCGTTGAACATCCCCATTTTCATAAACTAACTTTTGTGGATCATATGCACCCTGCGATGTGACAGGTAAACACAGGCAAAAATGATGAGGGGAAGTGTGAAAAACAAAATACCTTTCTAGAGAGTTCAGGATATGTGAATGAGTCATAGGGGAATGCAGTGTTATCTGTCATATGCCAGTGAAGTACATTCATTTTAACAATAGCCATAACATCCTGAATGATTGTGAAGTAGAAGTAAGAGAATAATGGGTTGGATTGACTTACAATGAATTTCTCCATCTCATCAACACTGATGTAGTGGTTGGCAGTGTCCAGCAGAAATCCTCTGTGACCGTATTGTGGTGAATCCTCAACAGTTTGTTCGTGTAATACAAGCTAAATGAATTGGTTATTGAGATACAGAGAAACATGAGGTTATTATTATTGCAATTGACTCACAGCTCCCCTTTCACTTCTGTGCACCAGTTGTGTAACAGTCTGCAAGGCGTGCAATGCTCCCCATACTTCATTAGATTCAATATCAATCTTCCCATCCAGTATGCTTATTTTGTCTTCAATGGTTATTTAGTTAGTTATGTATGCATATTATGAAGAAGCGAATTAAACCTACGTGATTCATCCATGTGTTCACTGGGCCAAAGTTGATTCTGTGATTCATCACAGCCACTTGTGATGACAACACTTAGTGTCTTGATGCTGCAAGATACTGTCCCATCATCATTTGACTGTGGCGAACGATGTATTTGTAGAAGACGTTTGTCGAATACTTTCAAGGCTTCGTTGAGTATGTAACATGATGGATAATCGTGTTCAATTGAAAGTAGGTCGGCCACGCTACACAATGATTCACCCATCTCTTGCTTCAGTGGTCTTGGCACTAAACAATTGACGGTGTAATAGGAAATTATGAGAAATATGGAGCTAATCAAATAGGTCATTGTCATGATTTTAAGTTTCTGAGAGCTTAGTGTAAAGATTGTTTATATAACATAAATTTGTATCCTTTGTCCTCTTACGTGTTTTTGTGTTTCCGCTCGTGAGTGTGTCTGCATGCGATCTTGTTGTATGTCTTGTAAAGAAATTTTGTCATTCATGAAGGTTATTTGAATGATCCAACCAAAATATCTGCAATCTGAAGTAGTCTCCAATACTGGAGTCTCAGGCGAGTGTGTATTCATTAAATTTTAACAATCCCATTGAGTGATTTCACACTGGCATACCTCATTTAATTTCTTTTCAAGTATTGAATAACCAAAAGTGAACAGAAAACAAAAATGGGAAAAGGCGTAAAAAGTATGAATCACACGTAGAAACATAAATCCTCCTATGATTACATCGATTTTTTAGTTAATATCTCGCGAAGTGTGCTTCATAGATTATCAGTCACTACTAATGTATCCTAGTGTAGCATGCCACCACTAATAATAAATTCATGACTCCAGGACCGCTAGACTATGCAGATGTGATTTCTATCTTTACGGTTTACAAGCACCATCTTCCTGGTAGCTTATAGAAAGACTTGTTAACATATTTAAAAGTTGCAAACAATAATTGGAATATTCTTTCCACGTCTACAGGTGTAACGATGCTACAATATATAGACATTACTTACAAACAAAAGACTCATGCATGTGTCTAGAGTAGTTAACAGGTTTATGTGATCAAACTTGTTGATAAATGACGTGATGAGTTTACATGTACTCTAGAAACTGTCTGCATGTTATGCTGATTCAGGAGCATTAAGTTTCCATATCAGAAAATCCGATTTTACCTCTAGTAACCATGTGGGACATGTAGCAAGAAGCAGTATGTGCACAGGCATTAGATGGGTACTGCGGCTCATTCACTGTTCGGACATGTCCAGTTCCAGTTCATACGCAGCTCGACTGCAATATTACTAAGGCATTCGCCAAGGAATCGCCGTGTATACTCATACTAAATAAGTGATGCAGCTGGATAAACCTCAGTGACATTGACAAGTGGATCTCTAGCATAATAAATGTTTTACTGTGTCCAAAACATTAGAGGTATACAAATGACAATTAATTGTGGATGATTACAGTTAATGGTGGAAACAACTCTGTATCCTTCTCTAATATTTGAGCAGTTTTGCATGTGATACAAACTAAATTCTCCTATATTCGAAATAATAATAATAATGTATTTCATATAAATTTACAAATTTACATGAAAATGCATGCCATTTTTACAGGCACGATCAAGTATGATATAATATCAAATCGTAGATTGTCTACAAGTTAATCGTATTTCAACTGTTAAATATTCGACACATATAATACACTCATTTTCTGAATTAGGCCGTATAGTTATTGAATTGTACAGTTGTCCTCCAGGTTGAGCGGGAAAATCGACTTCGTTCCGTTTTCATCCCGTGGTTGTAGGCATACGATAACCAACCGATATTGAGGTAAGTACACCTTTTACAAGGGATTGGAATCTGTTTTAGAAAAATTAAAGTGCTGAGGTGAATCATTAAATTGTAATGAAATAGGTAAGTGCAAGTATCATTAATAAATGCATTAATAAAGGAAACACCCTAGGGTAACAACATTCATTTGCAATGTATAATGCTACAGATATATCACAAACTATCATGATATCCACTTTTGGTTTTAATACAATTATCCTCATGCCAGTTGTTTTTATTTTATACCTTTTTGTGCATTTAGTGCACAACCGTACCCTTCAGAGAGTAGGAGTATAATAAGTAATGAAGAGCTATAAGATGTTAAGTTTAATGGAGTAAAATGAGGATCAAGTAAAGACGTTGTCAGAAAATAAATGAGATAAGACATTGTGGAGTGGTATGAAAAGATCTGACGATAGACAGCAAGTTAATTTATAAGATGCCCCATAAATCTGAGCAGATCCCACATGGTCGCATCTCAACAATAGGCTGGGTGAATGGTATATATTTAAAGGTAGAAGCATGATCTGTCAAGGCGTTCATTGTTATCTTTTTCAAGATAAAGATTTAAGCCCTCATAAAAACCAGAAATATCTCGAGCCTTCAAATTTTTTAATGCTGTTCCTGCAGAATGGGGCGGTTCACCTTAGTGTCCACCACCATATCTACTGATCAGCTAACTCCACCCTCCCACCTTTTTTGATGTTAGGCTCTGAGACTATGATTATTATGGTTACCGCAAATATATTGCTTGGTACCAGACATGTTCGTACCCCATATTCCATCTCCCTAGCTTTCTTAATGAGTGCTTCCAATAGGTCCCCGCGTACATCTTTATGAACATATTATATATGTATGCATGCGTCCTAATGAACAGATTACTTTATAAGAAGACAAAAACCTTGAAGAATAACAAGAATAGGTTTTGTGAATAGTGGAGCAAGATTCAGCAGAACAATATAGTTAGGGTTCAATATAGGTAGTATGAACTGAAGGTAAGGTCGGTTGGCAGGACCAAGTGTACTAAATTATCATGACAGTTTTATATATAGTAAACATTTGACATTGCAAAGTAACCTGTCTACATATATTATAAAAAGATATTAGCAGAACCAGCAAAATTTCAGCATTTGGTTAACAATACTACAGAAAGTTAGTGAGTCTTACAGGTAGCCGTAAAGTAAATCAATCTATATACAATAAGAGTGTAATCATTGTTATAATTCGTATTATCAAAGAATACATTAGGCTCAAAAACTGAATGTTATAAGGGAAATAAGAGTGATAAACTAAGAGAACATTTGCTGCGTAAGTAATCATTTTAAGTATTTTAATGATAATCTAATTTCAAGTATTGAACATGCATAATCACTAAGTATTATTAGGTTAGTCTAGGAACTAGTGTACTGTCTGTAGTTAAATATTGAAATATCATGGTTCCACCACTCTACCAGCAGTTGAGATCATTTAGAAGGGCTAGGGTGGACATGTTAATATGTTTTTCTAGGCTCCTTTTGAAACTGTCAGGCCTTTCACAGGATCTAATCTCAGAGGGTAGTTGGTTCCAAAGTTTGCAATATTTAATGGTGAAGAAGTTAGCTCTAGTGGTGAGCTTATGGGTGTTAACCTTGAGAAGGCAGTTATGGTTGCGTAGTCCATACGATTTAGGATTAGCCCAGGTTATAGACGAGTTACTGTTACAGTGCTTTCTTATAACTTTGAATAAGAGAAATAAATTGCACTTCACTCTCCTTAACCATAAGGGTTCTAAGTCCAGTCGAATACATCTGTCGAGGTATTCTATTTGCTGATCATAACCTAATATGCGTTTCGTGAGGAATCTTTGGACACTTTCAACTTTTTTTCTGTCTGCTGATTTAAAGCTACTGTATAAGTGGGCACAGTATTCAAGTTTGGGGCGAATGCATATCTTATATATGGCTAATCTGGCTTCTGGGGTGTAAAAGTTGCGTAGCACAAAGCCTGTTAGACGTTTACAATCAGACCACATAACAGTCATTTTACCTAGATGCCAGGTTTCATACTGGTTGTTGATGAATTCTGACCATATGTCTTATCCATGACACGCTGCTCAATTCATTTTGTCAACTAGATGGATCATAAATTACATTCCTCAAACGCGTGAGGTCCTTTGTTTGAACGGTCGCCCTCTTTGGTCGTAATCTGAAATAATCACAAAGAAGCACCAGTTTTAGTCTGTAGCGGTAAATAATTCCCCAAAATTATTAACCACAGCAATCATCACTCAACATTGGATGCTGACCATCACTGTTTAAGTCGACTTGTTTAGCTGAAGGCTTACGGTCAAGCATCCCCGCCATTTGGTGCTTCGTCGTGTCACGTGCGTGCACGATTACTAGCTAGCTAAGCATTCATTCCTACCCGCGATTTGGTCCCGAAATATATATCGTATTTGGACGACAAAATCTGGTCTTTTGCTTTACCATTTGGTACTCGAAGAACGAACACTATAGTGGTTGTTGGTATAAGATCTTGCGTTAGTATAATCCGTACAACACGCGAACACACGATACCAGCGTCCTCTAAACTGGTGAGCCCAACCACGAACTACATCTTCACACGCAGATAAACCCGGTGAGTTCGTTCCTTTTTGTGTTTATTCTTGTACTATATTGTTATCGGCATACTTTTCGTCATGAGTGATCCTAGCCCCAAAGTTATTCAGATTCGCTCAACCGCCAAAACAATTCAGCTAGTACCATTTTGGCCAGATAATGCTGAAACGTGGTTTCAGATTGCTGAGTCTGATTTTTGTGAACATGGCATAACTGATCAACGTTCACAGTTCCTTGCAGTTATTCACGCCCTACCGCGGGAATTCAGCAGGTGCGTAACTCTGCAGATGTCGGTAAGTAACTCGTACGAGTTGCTAAAAGCATCCATCCTCAAGAGAAACGTTCTCACAGATCGACAACGTCTGGATGAGTTATTTCGTAACATCGAGTTAGGGGATCAGTCAGCTGTGAGCATGCTGGCAAGAATGAAAGAGATCATTGGCCAAAGTCAGTTCGATGAAGGACTGTTTAGAGAACTATTTTTATCCAAACTGCCACAGTCAGTTCAGACTGTACTTGTGACACTTCAGGGTATTCTCATAGATGATTTAGCTGTCTCTGTAGATAGAATTCTAGAGATAACGAAACGGCCAGTTACCGAAGTATACTCTGTTACCGAACAGACTTCGAAGAAGGATTCTGCAATGATAGAGTTAATCAACTCCGTCCAGCAGATGCTTAGGTCGAACAAGCCTAGCAATTCCCCCTATCGTCGTTCTAAATCCCCTCAACGGCAGAACGCACGTGGACGATCTAAGTCCAACACACGCTCTCTCAAAAATCCTGGCTGGTGTTGGTATCACAACACCTATGGCAAGGAAGCGAAATG